CTCAGTACTTTGTTGAAGCACCTTTGGCAGCGATTACAGCTTCAAATCTTATTGGGTATGACGCTACAAGCTTGGCATACCTGTATTTGGGGAGTATTTCCCATTCTTCTCTGCAGATCCTCTCAAGCTCTGTCAGGTTGGATGGGGAGCGTTGCTGCACAGCTATTTTCACGTCTCTCCAGAGATGTTTGATCAGGTTCAAGTCCGGACTCTGTCTGGGCCACTCAAGGACATTCAGAGACTTGTCCCGAAGCCACTCCTGCGTTGTCTTGGCTGGGTGCTTAGGGTCGTTGTCCTGTTGGAAGGTGAACCGTCGCCCCAGTCTGAGGTCCTGAGCGTTCTGGAGACGGTTTTCATCAAGGATCTCTCTGTACTTTGCTCTGTTCATCTTTCCCTCGATCCTGACTAGTCTCCCAGTCCCTGCCGCTGAAAAACATCCCCACAGCATGATGCTGCCACCACCATGCTTCACCGTAGGGATGGTGCCAGGTTTCCTCCAGACATGAGGCTTGGCATTCAGGCCAAAGAGTTCAATCTTGGTTTCATCAGACCAGAGAATCTTGTTTCTCATGGTCTGAGAGTCCTTTAGGTGCCTTTTGGCAAACTCCAAGCGGGCTGTCATGTGCCTTTTACTGAGGAGTGGCTTCCGTCTGGCCACTCTACCATAAAGGCCTGATTGGTGGAGTGCTGCAGAAATGGTTGTCCTTCTGGAAGGTTCTCCCATCTCCACAGAGGAACTCTGGTGCTCTGTCAGAGTCACCATCGGGTTCTTGATCATCTATCTGACCAAGGCCCTTCTCCCCCGATTGCTCAGTTTGGCCTGGCGGCCAGCTCTAGGAAGAGTCTTGGTGGTTCCAAACTTCTTCCATTTAAGAATGAGGGAGGCCTGTGTTCTTGGGGTCGACACAATCCTGTCTTGGAGCTCTACGGACAATTCCTTTGACCTCATTGCTTGGTTTTTGCTCTGACATGCACTGTCAACTGTGGGACCTTATATAGACAGGTGTGTGCCTTTCAAAATCATGTCCAATCAATGTAAACGCTGCCAAAGCTGATTCTAACATGTATTGACTCAGGGGTGTGAATACTTACGTAAATGAGATATTTCTGTATTTCATTTTCAATCATTTTGCTACAAATTCTAAAAATATGTTTTCACTTTGTCATTATGGGGTATTGTGTGTAGATGGGTGAGATTTTTATTTATTTAATCAATTTTGAATTCAGGCTGTAACACAACAAAATGTGGAATAAGTCAAGGTGTATGAATACTTTCTGAATGCACTGTACAGTCATATCTGACTAAGAGCATAACATGTCGTTAGAAGTGCTTCAACCTCGTCCAATATAGAACAGGAGAGATTATTTCATAGAAAATAATAATGTTCCTTGAGATTTGTCAGAGTTTAGAATAACAATAAGTAGCTAACAGCTAACTGCTCTCTCATGTCTCTTCATTGAGAAGAGCAGCCCAAGCAGAGCTGTTTACATTTACATTTTTACATTTTAGTCATTTAGCAGACGCTCTTATCCAGAGCGACTTACAGTTAGTGAATACATATTTTTTTATATATACTGGCCCCCCCCGTGGGAATCGAACCCACAACCCTGGCGTTGCAAACGCCATGCTCTATCAACTGAGCTACATCCCTGCCGGCCATTCCCTCCCCTACCCTGGACGACACTGGGCCAATTGTGCACCGCCCATGAGTCTCCCGGTCGCGGCAGAGCCTGGATTCGAACCAGGATCTCTAGTGGCACAGTTAGCACTGCGATGGATACTGTGTTGCTATGGATACTCACAGACTCAGAGGGCCATGAGCAGAGCTGCTTGCAGGGAGTAAGTGACAGACAGAGAGGAGCAGCTATTGGATTTACTAACAGGAAGTTATTTCTTAAATTTGGCAGAAGCAATCAGCCTGGGTAGGACCTGAACATCGGGCATGGGTAGGGCTCTGGCTTAAAATTCTTGCCCGTGCAAGGCTTTACTATGCATTCTCTACCTGGTTATATTCTGAGAAAACCCATCACAAAAATACAAAACAAGTCTTGTTAATGTTAGAAAGAGCATTGGCTGGTATCTAATTTGCTTATCATCAGGATATTCATTCCTTGGACCATGTTGATCATGTTCAGCTTCGTGTAGGAGAAGTGGAATTTCGATAGCATCCACTTTATCTGCAATAACAAAGGCGAATGCCATGTCTGCTATTGTCGCGTTTCCTAGAAAGAGCAGAAGTTGTCGAACTTGCTGTCAGTGCATATGTAACTCCCCCGGCTTTACTCGTCGACTTCTATCTACAGTCGGCTACTTTCGGCTTACCACTCAAACGCGCCCATTGTCTATGGTTCTGCTAGGAGCAAATCGAACCTAGTATGCCTCTAGGGTTAGCTAAAATGCAAAGATTCTTAAGTCGTATTCACCAACGCTCCATCAAATCATGTAGCCTATACGGTAGAAAGAGCATATAGCCTCTGTCGCCTTTTCTGTAGCCTACACTGCAACCACATTTATGACAATGTCACGAGATAGACACTTACATTTTTCCGATCAAATAGCCTAAATGGCGGCCAATAAAATAAAAATGCGCTTCGATGTGAACATGAATAAAAAATCTTAAACACACCATATCCTAAAAACAGGACAGGTCAGAGTAAAATGGACAATAGCCTATGGAATGAAATTTGGCTAATTATCACTGCTGTCTGGGAGTTTCACTCAGTGGGCTAAATTGTCATGATAATTAGCGATTTCAAGTTTGTAGGCCTATTCGTCCATTTCTGATCTGATCATGGCAAAGAACAAAATAGGAACTGCATTTTCCAAGATAACGGAACACCTGATAAACTTGGGTAGCTGACATATGCAGCACGTGAGTTTCACGTTTGAGGGAGCTAAGAATGTATCCTACCATTTATACCTATCTGTTTGCTAGTTATGATTTTCATATTCGAATTTTCGTGGAACAGTTTAAGTTGAATAATAACGTTTTCGTTTCTCAAAATCAGTCACATGGTTACAAAAAATGACTGAGAAGCTCAGCTAATTATTAGTGGTGGTCAGAAATCAGACTAAATTTGCGCGAAGCAGGCCAGGTAGCCTATATTATGCCTGCTCAGGCGCATGCACTCCATCAACAGGACAGAGAAACCAGACACATGCTCATTGCTCACATGGAGCGCTCCAAACAAAATACAATTTTAAAAACTCGTAAATGATGGTATGTGTTGGTGAACTAAATTATATGGAGAGGGAGTACAAACCAACGACGCTAGACGGAGAGGAATTTGCTTAAGCAAAAGGCAGTTTATTAAACACAGAGATATCTTGTACTGTTAGGTTAACATGCATGGACCTAATCATATGGCACTCTAATAGTGTCAGCTGAGAAGGATGTTTAAACAGAGTTTACAGCATTACTTTATACAATGTAACATAAAGGAAGGGGTCCTTCTTCTAGTCCCTTGATTGGTTCCCGAGGCGTAGGAGGCGGGTCTGCTCTGTCCAGAGCAGATGCCCCATTGGTGCACGGCAGAGTCCTCTGCCCTTGGCACCCGACCAGTAGAAGGGGAGTTGAGAATGAGTGTGCGTGCAAATGAAATGTTTGTGGTCGAGAATGAGTGTGCGTGAAAATGAAATGTTTGTGGTCGAGAATGAGTGTGCGTGAAAATGAAATATTGGTGTGTGTCAAGGGAACTCGTGGGGAGTAACTGGTGGTTTATGGCCGGAGGTGGGGGTGTTGTCCTGTTATCTCATTCCTGCAAGACTAGGCCATCTGGTGACAAGATATGGCGTTCTCCTCTGTCCTTTGTTCTCTGACCTGGAACAGCATTTATTGAAAACAAGCTCCTAACACAAATGGGTCTTGCACAACATTTTAGTCAGACCAATCTATAACATTTTATATTTACTACGACAAATTATATTTACTACGACAAATCCCCCTCTTCACGTCTCCCAGACGTGATCCATTAATTATGGTGGCATGAAGCATAGTTGAATCAGTCTTAAAAGAAAAACAATAATGCAGAAAAGAAAACAACACATGATAACGCATAATGCAATTGTAAAAAAATTTAACCATCCCCCTCTAGCATACTAATTATATGGCCAGTTAATTAAACAATGTTAGTCCCCCTCTAGTGCACGATTAAATACATCAAAGCTGTTGTTCAAATTCTATTTCATCTTCCCCTGAAAGGGGTAGATTTGAGCTTGTTCGTTTGGAGTGGGTGCGATGGCAAAGATTTCTCCTTCTACCTGGTCGAGGTTCTTTTTCCCATAAGGGAACCTTCATTTTGGTGTCAAATTTTTGTTTTGGCTGCTCAAATCAGCCCTGACTTCTGTCAGTGATCTAGAAGGAGTGGGGGCTGGTGTGCAATGAGTTAGATGGTGCCAGGGTGCGCCTGATTTACCTCTGACCTGGACTGAGTGTGAAGTAACCTCCTTCACTTCGTACGGTCCAGTCCACCTGGGTTCCAGCCACTTTCTCTTGTGGACTTTTACCCTCACCCAGTCTCCCACTTTTACCTTCAGTGGCAGCGTACTTCCCGACAGCTCCCCCTCTTGGGCCTTCTGCACCTGAGAAGAGAGTGCTGCAGAAAATTCCGTCAATTTCCTCACATAATCAGTCATTTCTATCTGTTGTACATCAAGGGCGGGCATATGACCTCCCTCCCTTGGCTAGGTTGGCGCGTTCCACGAGTCCCTGGGACTGAGGATGGTACTGAACCGAATCTGTGCATGATTCCGAATCTTTCCTCCACCTCTCTCAGATGTTTTGTTGCTAAAACGTGTGGTTGTCAGATCTTATCTGCCTTGGTATACCATATCTGGGTATTAACTTAGTTTGTAGCCACTTAATGACTGACCTAGCATCCTCTTACCCATTTTGAAAACCTGTCTACAGTTTCTGTCATGTGAGGGTGCCACCAGATGTGTGAGACCTTTTGGAGGGTCTTCTCACGCAACAGTTCAGGGCAGAGTCTAGCTGGTTCAACTAGTCTTCCATCATGGCACGTCCAGAGTTCGTCCTGTCCTCTGCCGCCCCCTCCTGGGCCCAGACTGAGTGTTCATAGGGTCCTGCTGAGCTCTGTAACTGTGCTATATCGCCTTGGTTGGGTTCAGTCTGTGATTGTCGGTGGTAGTAGTATTGGATGAGGATCACGCCTTCGGGCACCTGGAGTTCAGACAGGTGGGTTTATGGTTGTTGTGGGGGTCCTCCCCTTCCTCTACCTCTCCATTGTGGTGTACCTCTGCCTCTTCCCCTCCATTGGGGTTGATGGTTAAATTGTGGGTGTTCCTTACAATCACGCCTAAAATGTCCAGCTCCTCCACAATTGTAACACAGGTAGTTCCCTCCTCTTGGAGGACCTAATGGGGTGCCTTGCTGAGGCCATGGTTGTGGTTGTGGGCCAAAAGTCATGGTGCCTTTTAGGCTGTATAGTGAGGTGGGGCCAGGAGTGGTGCTGGTACTGGCCTCTGGGGAAGCTGTAGGAGAACCCTTAAATGGAGTTTTCATCTCTACTGGCGCTTCAGTGGCCACACACATCGTATCTGATTTCTTTGGTTGCACCCTCCTGCTCTCCAACGCCACTTTTTTAACTTTCCTATACTGTACTTTTCCCCTTGCTCTGTCTGTCATTCGTTGTTCTAGATATTCATTAAATTTGGGTTTAGTTATGTTTGGCCCTGCCATCTTGCTTTCTCTATCTTTATACACTTATCCCGTCCCTGGTGTTTTATTTCCAAGGATGTATTATCGGTATCAATACAGACTTATCTCATGTACGACACCCTCGTATATAAAGAGGCTGATTTATATAATTTGTAATGCAATTATTATCATAAAAATCAGAATTCCAGTCACATATACCAATGCAGTAATTCCTCCACAGCACACAACACGCTTTAATTGTCTCAGCTCTTGTTCAAGACTATGCACAGATCCAATATCAGTCTCCCCAATCCCTGGTTCCTGAAAGCCTAAGTCAAATTCACTCAATTCCACAGATTGGTATTCAGTTTCATAAGTCTCACTATAACTTCCCATCATCCATTACACGTTATAATACATCAAAACACACAAACCATAAGCCAATTGGAATTACAATGCTTAATGAATTTAGGTTACCAGAGTGTCCTAAAACATAGTCTCAGTTCGACTGCTACCCTTCACACAACCTTACACTTATGTGAAGTCACAGAAGCAACTGGATCCCTATCAAAGGATTTTTTTAGACAACTCGATCACTAGGAAGGACTTAGTCTCAGCTTAATTGTACCTTTCACACAACCATTTATATGGAACGTTTTAAGTGTGAAATCACAGAGATAACTGGCATCCCCGGGAATTTAGTACCTCTGGTCAATTTCGGTGATTCTCCCCCACCTAATGTCTAGAACTCTGCCACAGTTTAACGTGATCAACTCTCTCACAACCTATAGGGTAGGACCTCCCCTAATAGGATTTATGCAAAAGGTCTCAGTTCAAACTGGGTCCCTTTAGGAATCTAGATTATGGGTCAAATCTTATCCACTAATGCGTCAACCCGCAGTTTGACACATTTTGGATACGTTTATCTTTATTCCTTATTCCTTTATTCCTTATTCCTTTATTCCTTATTCCTTTATTCCTTATTCCTTTATTCCTTAGTATAAAAGACAGTACCAGATATCTCATGTATGCCTTAATTCATTAGGATGGAAAATTATTTAAGAAGTATTCATACTCACACTCAGTACTTCTGATCAAAATTTGGTATTGGTCTATAATACAATATGCAAGATTTCGTTTTAACAGGCTCTGCATACCTTTTTAGAAGAGCGCGCTCTGATCAGGTTCCTGAGGCAAGACGAATAGTTGATGTCTCCTGGATTTCAGGTCACTCTTCCGTCTGTTTTTAGATCGATGATTTGCCTTTTCCTCTCGCACCAACTCTTTAGATCGAATTAAGAAACCATCCTCTGCTACCAATTTGTTGGTGAACTAAATTATATGGAGAGGGAGTACAAACCAACGACGCTAGACGGAGAGGAATTTGCTTAAGCAAAAGGCAGTTTATTAAACACAGAGATATCTTGTACTGTTAGGTTAACATGCATGGACCTAATCATATGGCACTCTAATAGTGTCAGCTGAGAAGGATGTTTAAACAGAGTTTACAGCATTACTTTATACAATGTAACATAAAGGAAGGGGTCCTTCTTCTAGTCCCTTGATTGGTTCCCGAGGCGTAGGAGGCGGGTCTGCTCTGTCCAGAGCAGATGCCCCATTGGTGCACGGCAGAGTCCTCTGCCCTTGGCACCCGACCAGTAGAAGGGGAGTTGAGAATGAGTGTGCGTGCAAATGAAATGTTTGTGGTCGAGAATGAGTGTGCGTGAAAATGAAATGTTTGTGGTCGAGAATGAGTGTGCGTGAAAATGAAATATTGGTGTGTGTCAAGGGAACTCGTGGGGAGTAACTGGTGGTTTATGGCCGGAGGTGGGGGTGTTGTCCTGTTATCTCATTCCTGCAAGACTAGGCCATCTGGTGACAAGATATGGCGTTCTCCTCTGTCCTTTGTTCTCTGACCTGGAACAGCATTTATTGAAAACAAGCTCCTAACACAAATGGGTCTTGCACAACATTTTAGTCAGACCAATCTATAACATTTTATATTTACTACGACAAATTATATTTACTACGACATATGAAATAAACCAAAATGTCTTTCTCACAAGTGTAGCAGGTTGTGAACTCTGCAAACAACGTTAACACTCCGAGAATGAGAACGGTAAATTATTTTTTAGTCTCAACATTTCAAATTAATACTCAAGACACTATCTTCTGACATATTTGAGATGCTTTTCACTGACAGCCGCAAATCAATAATCAGCTACTATTGCCACGAGTGCTGCCCAAATTGCTGACTTCCCAATTAGGCATAGCACTACTCGCTTGTGACTTCAAACAATCCACAGGTGTTTTTTAAGAAGCTAATGATCCTCTCTGACTAAGTCATGCTTTCTAGTTAAGTATTTCGAATGATTGTATTTATTTCTGTAAAGACAGGAGTAATTATAATTTTGGAAAATGTAATTCAATTTACTTTAGGACGCTCTGCCTACATGGAAGCTGATATTCAGAGCTTGAATAGACAAAACGAAGTCTGTCAGCTATTAGGACTATGAAGCCAATGCAACTGCCGGTTTGTAAACCGTAGGCTACCACATGGATAGGCATTCATTAAAGTGCATTGTGGGCCAACACTGTATAGCCTAAACTACAATTCTACTTTGCGGGAATAGGAGGAGGGCGGCAGTTTTTTTGTCTAGCCTAGGGCAGCATATCTGCTGGGGACCGAGCCTGACGTCGACATGTTATAATTTTGGTGACCTCGTTGAAGTGGGAGTGAAGTTCTAGTAAATTTATCTGACAAGAAAGTTACAATTGGATAGACCAAAGTAATGAAACTGGGGATTATTGGCAGAAAGACGGTAATAATGACAACCCTGTTCGATGTAACTTTATTTCAGGTTTAAATAATTATTCCTGGTACTCTGCTATCGTTCGTTCAACTGCCTCGAATATCTCCTCAGCAGCCGCTGTTAATCGCTGGTTGAGAAACCATCTCAACAACTGTATTTTAGACATTTTAGAGAATTCTAGTTTTGGTTGCTAGTGTTGTGTCGAGAAAACGTTGCTAATTATGCTGTGAGAACAAGGAAATCCGCTGACGCTGTACTTCGATCATAAAGGTTTATTTATATCAAAGGGTTACAGCTTCAATTTACAGATACCTGCAGGCATCTGGAGAACAGCCAACCCAAATTCTAAATATGCTATTCTGACCTCCTTTGTCTTCACCAAGTATTTATCCTATGTAATCTGATATGGGTGTTTCCCCTACAGACCAATCCCAGGAGGTCACCTAACAGACTTCCTCTGCTTTAGAGTACTCCTCTAAAACTGCTCTCCAGATGTCTCCCTTGGCCAAATCAACATTCTCTAAGCTACCATTTGCAAACATTAACAAAGTCATAAATTCCTCACATACTACACTAGCTAACTCGTTACCTGATAAAGATAATTTTACCCAGTGTTGTTGTTGCTTAGTACAGTAAAACAAAAAATAAATTAAACTTGTCATGGCTGTGTAGCGTATAGATGTTGTACTATCGCCACCTGCTGGAGTGGAGTGCAACAACGTCGGTTTGGTTTTTGAGAAGACGTTAATTCAGCAGGGATGGGCAACTCCAGAGCTGCGTTCAGTACATAAAAACGTAATAGAACGTTAAATTGAACAGAAACGGTGCTGTACTGAGCTACCAGTTGAAAAACGAGGAATGGGTTGTGTTCCCAGGAGGTTGGTGGCACCTTAATTGGAGAGGACGGGCTCGTGGAATGAGTGGAATGAGGGGAATGGTATCAAGGGAATTGTTGATATGTTGTCAATTTTTTAGTTATTCGATATAACATTATCTTTGGAAAAATGCGGCAAAAATGCATTTTACATATGTCTTTAGTATTTACATTTACGTCATTTAGCAGATGCTCTTATTCAGAGCGACTTACAAATTGGTGCATTCACCTTATAGCCAGTAGGATAACCACTTTACAATATGTTTTTTTGTTGTTTTTGTTGTTATTATTATTATTATTATTATTATTATTATTTTGGTGGGGTAAGGGGGGGGGGTAGAAGGATTACTTTATCCTATCCCAGGTATTCCTTAATGAGGTGGGGTTTCAAGTGTCTCCGGAAGGTGGTGAGTGACTCCGCCGTCCTGGCGTCGTGAGGGAGCTAGTTCCACCATTGGGGTGCCAGAGCAGCAAACAGTTTTGACTGGGCTGAGCGGGAACTGTGCTTCCGCAGAGGTAGGGGGGCCAGCAGGCCAGAGGTGGATGAACGCAATGCCCTCGTTTGGGTGTAGGGACTGATCAGAGCCTGAAGGTGCCGTTCCCCTCACAGCTCCGTAGGCAAGCACCATGGTCTTGTAGCAGATGCAAGCTTCAACTGGAAGCCAGTGGAGTGTGCAGAGGAGCGGGGTGACATGAGAGAACATGGGAAGGTTGAACACCAGACGGGCTGCGGCATTCTGGATGAGTTGTAGGGGTTTAATGGCACAGGCAGGGAGCCCAGCCATCAGCGAGTTGCAGTAATCCAGACGGGAGATGACAAGTGCCTGGATTAGGACCTGTGCCGCTTCCTGTGTAAGGCAGGGTCGTACTCTCCGAATGTTGTAGAGCATGAACCTACAGGATCGGGTCACCGCCTTGATGTTAGCGGAGAACGACAGGGTGTTGTCCAGGGTCACGCCAAGGCTTTTTGCACTCTGGGAGGAGGACACAACGGAGTTGTCAACCGTGATGGCGAGATCATGAAACAGGCAGTCCTTCCCCGGGAGGAAGAGCAGCTCCGTCTTGCCGAGGTTCAGCTTGAGGTGGTGATCCGTCATCCACACTGATATGTCTGCCAGACATGCAGAGATGCGATTCGCCACCTGGTTATCAGAAGGGGGAAAGGAGAAGATTAGTTGTGTGTCATCTGCGTAGCAATGATAGGAGAGGCCATGTGAGGATATGACAGAGCCAAGTGACTTGGTGTATAGCGAGAATAGGAGAAGGCCTAGAACTGAGCCCTGGGGGACACCAGTGGTGAGAGCACGTGGTGCGGAGACAGATTCTCGCCACGCCACTTGGTAGGAGCGACCTGTCAGGTAGGATGCAATCCAAGAGTGAGCCGCGCCGGAGATGCCCAACTCGGAGAGGGTGGAGAGGAGGATCTGATGGTTCACAGTATCAAAGGCAGCAGACAGGTCTAGAAGGACAAGAGGGGGGGATTCAGCAGGGAGGAGAAGGTGGCAAAGAGCTTCCTAGGGTTAGAGGCAGATGCTTGGAATTTAGAGTGGTAGAAAGTGGCTTTAGCAGCAGAAACAGAGGAAGAAAATGTAGAGAGGAGGGAGTGAAAAGATGCCAGGTCCGCAGGGAGTCTAGTTTTCCTCCATTTCCGCTCGGCTGCCCGGAGCCCTGTTCTGTGAGCTCGCAATGAGTCGTCAAGCCACGGAGCAGGAGGGGAGGACCGAGCCGGCCGGGAGGATAGGGGACATAGTGAGTCAAAGGATGCAGAAAGGGAGGAGAGGAGGGTTGAGGAGGCAGAATCAGGAGATTGGAGGGAGAAGGATTGAGCAGAGGGAAGAGATGATAGGATGGAAGAGGAGAGAGTAGCAGGAGAGAGAGAGCGAAGGTTGCGACGGCGCATTACCATCTGAGTAGGGGCAGAGTGAGTAGTGTTGGAGGAGAGCGAGAGAGAAAAGGATACAAAGTAGTGGTCGGAGACATGGAGGGGAGTTGCAGTGAGATTAGTAGAAGAACAGCATCTAGTAAAGATGAGGTCAAGCGTATTGCCTGCCTTGTGAGTAGAGGGTGAGGTCAAAAGAGGAGAGTGGAAAGAAGGAGGCAGAGAGAAATGCGTCAAAGGTAGACGTGGGGAGGTTAAAGTCACCCAGAACTGTGAGGGGTGAGCCATCCTCAGGAAAGGAACTTATCAAGGCGTCAAGCTCATTGATGAACTCTCCAAGGGAACCTGGAGGGTGATAAATGATAAGGATGTTAAGCTTGAATGGGCTAGTGACTGTGACAGCATGGAATTCAAATGAGGAGATAGACAGATGGGTCAGGGGAAAAAGAGAGAATGTCCACTTGGGAGAGATGAGGATTCCTGTGCCAAAAATGAAAAGTATTGATCCACAATATGCTCTGGACAAGTCTGGTCCAGGGGCCTCATTTATTTTGCATACGCACAAAATATGCTCCAAAACATGCATGCACCAATTTTCATGCAAAAGTTGGCATTTATAAAAACTGAACTTGACATGAATGTGCTTATCCTAGAGCAAACTTTAGACCATGCATGTGCACAGTTTCTAGTGGTTGAAGTCTTGCATTGCATGAAGGCAAAAGTATCCTAGTAGTAGCCTTGTGCAAATGGGGAATATAAATCTGAACAAAAATCTAAACGCAACAATTTCAAAGATTTTACTGAGTTACAGTTCATAAGGAAATAAATTAGTCAGTATCTGTTGTGACCACCATTTGCCTCATGCAGTGTGACACATCTCCTTCGCATAGAGTTGATCAGGCTGTTGATTGTGGACTGTGGAATGTTGTCCCACTCCTCTTCAAATGGCTGTGCAAAATTGCTGGATATTGGCGAGAACTGGAACACGCTGTCGTACACGTCAGTCCAGAGCATCCCAGACATGTTCAATGGGTGACATGTCTTGGTGAGTATGCAGGCCATGGAAGACCTGGGACATTTTCAGCTTCCAGGAATTGTGTACAGATCCTTGCGACATGGGGCCGTGCATTATCATGCTGAAACATGAGGTGATGGCGGCAGATGAATGGCACAACAATGGGCCTCAGGATCTCGCCACGGTATCTCTGTGCATTCAAATTGCCATTAATAAAATGGAATTGTGTTTGTTGTCTGTAGCTTATGCCTGCCCCTACCATAACCCCATCGCCACCATGGGGCATTCTGTTCACAACGTTGACATCAGCAAACCGCTTGCCCACACGACGCCATGCACGCTGTCTGCCATCTGCCCAGTACAGTTGAAACCGGGATTCATATGTGAAGAGCACATTTCTCTAGCGTGCCAGCCACCATAGAAGGTGAACATTTGCCCACTGAAGTCGGTTACGACGCAGAACTGCAGTCAGGTCAAGACCCTGGTGAGGATGAGGAGCACACAGATGAGCTTCCCTGAGATTGTTTCTGACAGTTTGTGCAGAAATTCTTTGGTTGTGCAAACCCACCCTCAGCTGTCCAGGTGGCTGGTCTCAGACAATCCCGCAGGTGAAGATGCCGGATGTGGAGGTCCTGGGCTGGCGTGGTTACACGTGGTCTGCAGTTGTGAGGCCGGTTGGACATACTGACAAATTCTCTAAAACGACGTTGGAGGTGGCTTATGGTAGAGAAATTAGCATTCAATTATCTGGCAACAGCTCTGGTGGACATTCCTGCAGTCAGCATGCCAATTGCACACTCCCTCAACTTGAGACATCTGTAGCCATGAAGTGCTTTGAAAGGCTGGTCATGGCTCACATCAACACCATTATCCCAGAAACCATAGACCCACTCCAATTTGCATACCGCCCCAACAGATCCACAGATGATGCAATCTCTATTGCGCTCCACACTGCCCTTTCACACCTGGACAAAAGGAACACCTATGTGAGAATGCTATTAATTGACTACAGCTCAGCGTTCAACACCATAGTGCCCTCAAAGCTCATCACTAAGCTAAGGACCCTGGGACTAAACACCTCCCTCTACAACTGGATCCTGGACTTCCTGATGGGCCGCCCCCCAGGTGGTAAGGGTAGGTAACAACACATCCGCCATGCTGATCCTCAACACGGGGGCCCCTCAGGGGTGCGTGCTCAGTCCCCTCCTGTACTCCTTGTTCACTCATGACTGCATGGCCAGGCACGACTCCAACACCATCATTAAGTTTTCCGATGACACAACAGTGGTAGGCCTGATCACCGACAACGTCGTGTGGTGCCAGGACAACAACCTCTCCCTCAACGTGATCAAGACAAAGGAGATGATTGTGGACCACATGAAAAAGAAGAGGACCGAGCACGCCCCCATTCTCATCGACGGGGCTGTAGTGGAGCAGGTTGAGAGCTTCAAGTTCCTTGGTGTCCACATCACCAACAAACTAACATGGTCCAAGCACACCAAGACAGTCGTGAAGAGGCCACGACAAAACGTATTCCCCCTAAGGAGACTGAAAAGATTTGGCATGGGTCCTCAGATCCTCAAAAGGTTCTACAGCTGCACCATCGAGAGCATCCTGACTGGTTGCATCACTGCCTGGTATGGCAACTGCTCGGCCTCCGACCGCAAGGCACTACAGAGGGTAGTGCGAACGGCCCAGCCCAGTACATCACTGGGGCCAAGCTTCCTGCCATCCAGGACCTCTATACCAGGCGGTGTCAGAGGAAGGCCCTAAAAATTGTCAAAGACTCCAGCCACCCTAGTCATAGACTGTTCTCTCTGCTACTGCACGGCAAGTGGTACCGGAGCGCCAAGTCTAGGTCCAAGAGGCTTCTAAACAGCTTCTATCCCCAAGCCATAACACTCCTGAACATCTAATCAAATGGCTACCCAGACTATTTGCATTGCTCCCCCACCCCCCCTCTTTTACGCTGCTGTAACCCTCTGTTTATTATCTATGCATAGTCACTAAAAACTCTACCTTCATGTACATGTTATTTTTACTGCTGCTCTTTAATTATTTGTTACTTTTATTATGTATTATTTTATATTGTATTTCTTTTTTTCTTTTTTGGTATTGTTTCTTAGAACTGCATTGTTGGTTAAGGGCTTGTAAGTAAACATTTCACTGTAAGGTCTACACCTGTTGTATTCAGCGCATGTGACAAATAACATTTGATTTTGTTTTGATTGTGTTGTGACAACTGCACATTTTAAAGTGGCATTTCATTGTTCCCAGCACAAGGTGCACCTGTTTAATCAGCCTCTTGATATGCCACACCTGTCAGGTAGATGGATTATCTTGGCAAAGGAGAAATGTTCACTAACAAGGACATCAATACATTTGTGCACAAAATATGGGAGAAATAAGCTTTATGTGCTTCTGGAAAATTTCAGGGATCTTTTATTTCAGCTCATGAAACACAGGACCAACACTTTACATGTTGAATTCATATTTTTGTTCAGTGTAGAAATAGTTAGATTTCCTATTATTTATTTCATTTCCATGATCATTGCAGAATAAATTCCTCACCTTTTCTGATTGTGATGGTTTCATAGGATACTCGTGAAATAGTTTTATAGGCCTACAACAAGTTAGGATAGGCATGCATCCCATCTCCATTTAATTGGACCAACTTCACAGTAGCAAATAGATAAGCTATTTCAAGCAGCCTATTTTGCTCTATGCGATCCGATCCGAAGCGCAGTTTAACAGTAGAACAGACGGTTCACGTTTGTAGGCTACTTCTGAATACTGTAATGTAACATTTCTTGCATAGACAGTATTTAATTTATAAACATAATACATATCACAACCAGTGCAGAATACCTTCTTCACCTTTTCTGGCCATGATGACTTCATATTCCCGAAGTAGCCATACAACAAATTTACAGTTTTTGCTCTATGCAGACAATACCGTGCGCGGTTTAAAACATACAGGTGAACAGACAGTGGATATTTTGCATTGAAGTGTGTAGGCTACCACTGTAAGTAGGCCTACTGTAGTTTATTTTTTGTTTCAGAATTCGTGAGCAGTGCAGAATATTTAGGTTCGGGAAAAAGTGAATGCAAAACATAATTGCATTCAAACTATCTGTTTACAGGTCCACAACAATTTGCAATTGTTTTTGTCTTTCAGAAACGGTCAGATAGGCCTACAGCAAATGTCACTGCAAAATAAAAAAGTTTCTGCCAACATCTCCAAAGACATTTAATCAAGTTTGCCATTGTCTTGGCCTAATTCCAATACTTCCAAACTATAAAGCAAATAAGGGTGTTATTGTCACCATAAAAGGTTTATGATGGGCTAGTTCACGTTTTACGACAGGTCTGAATTATAGCGCGAAACATGCGAATGTAGGCCTATGGCATGCGCCAAGTTGATAAATCTCAGTATTGTGCAGTTTTTTCAGAAATGGCGCATGCAGATATTTAGTGTTAAATGTATGCAGAGGTTATAAATGAGGCCCCTGGAGTGTCTTAACAAAATGAAACCAAAATATTTAGGCAGACTTCATCCAGTGTCCAGAAACATCGATTTGCGTTATATGCAAACATGTGCATATGTAATGACATCACCTTATTTGCATATTTTAATACAATATTTCAGAAGTAATGTAATAAACTATTATTTGTGTCAATATTCAACTGGTAAAAGTTGATTGTGATATGATTAAGGGGGGAAATTACCCTATAAGGGTGTGGTGCCTGGCCTTTAAAGCTAATTTCCTGCAATTCTACACACATTGCCATTGGGCAGAGAGAAAAATGTGTAGTTTTCAAATCAAATTTGATGTCACATGCTTTGTAAACAACAGGTGTAGACTAACAGTGAAATGCTTGCTTACGGGCCCTTCACAACAATGCAGAGGGGGAAAATATAAATAATAGAAAAATAATAACATGAGGAATAAATACACAATGAGTAAAGATAACTTGGCTGTCTACACGGGGTACCAGTACTGAGTCGATGTGCAGGAGTACGAGGTAATTGAAGTATAAATGTACATATAGGTAGGGGTAAAGTGAGTAGGCAACAGGATAGATAATAAACAGCAACGGCAGTGTATGTGATGAGTCAAAAGAGTTAGTGCAAAAAGGGTCAATGCAGATAGTTAACCAATAGCTACCCGGACTAACTATTTAGCACTCTTATGGCTTGGGGATAGAAGCTGTTCAGGATCCTGTTGGTTCCAGACTTGGTGCATCGATACCGCTTGCTGTGCAGTCTATGACCTGGGACTTTTATAGCTAATCTCATGCTATTCTACACATTTTGCAATGAGGCTGAGAAAATGTAGCATTTTTAAATATATATATTTTTGCCATGGCTTATGACGTGTTCATATCCGATCTGGGGAGGGGGTAGTGTGTGGTACACCAGTGAGAGATCTGAATGTACTCCAGTCACTGGGGGCCTGATTGTTGTCACACTTTTCCCCCAGTCCTATAGCTAACACGTCTGATTAAATGAATTGCATTCTAAACTGCAGACCATGTGTGCGTTCCTCTGCCCAGGCGTTGCTGACGCATGCTAGATCTTACAACGCCTGGATAGGTATTTTACGTATCAGCTAACCACATATGTTATAGCTCCACAATGAGATGGGGTGCAGGCCGGCCAGGCAGCAAGGGGTGCAGGCCGGCCAGGCAGCTTAGCAGAGTCTGCCACTAGCACAGTCAGTGTAGTCAGCTCAGCTATCCCTATTGAGACAGTGTCTGTGCCTCGATCTAGGTTGAGCAAAACAAAACATGGCGTTGTTCGCCTTAGCAATCTCACTGGAATAAAGACCATCTATGTCATTATTGAAAGATATTGTGATATCTCACATCTCAAAATAGGGTTACTTAATGTTAGATCCCTCACTTCCAAGGCAGTCATAGTCAATGAACTAATCACTGATCATAATCTTGATTGGCCTGACTGAAACATGGCTCAAGCCTGATGAATTTACTGTGTTAAATCAGGCCTCTCCTCCTGGTTACACTAGTGACCATATCCCCAGCGCCTCCCGCAAAGGTTCCTAGATGCCCTTCCAGATTCCCTCCACCTACCCAAGGACGTCGGAGTACAAAAATCGGTTAACCACCTGAGGATCAAAATGTAACCTTACATAATACCCAATATGGAAGAGCCCTCACTGCTGCTCGATCATCCTATTTTTCCAACCTAATTGAGGAGAATAAGAACAATGCTAAATGTATTTTTTATACTGTCGCAAAGCTAACTAAAAAGCCGCATTCAACAAGAGAGGATAGCTTTCACTTCAGCAGTAATAAATTCATGAACTTCTTCGATGAAAAGATCATGATCATTAGAAAGCAAATTACGGACTCCTCTTTGAATCTGCGTATTTCTCCAGGACCTAGGATCAATGGAGACACTCAAGTTTTTTAATCCTATATCTCTTGACACATTCATGAAAATAGTCATGGCCTCTAAACCTTCAAGCTGCATACTGGACTCTATTCCAACTAATCTACTGAAAGAGCTACTTCCTGTGCTTGGCCCTCCTATGTTGAACATAATAAATGGCTCCCTATCCACCGGATGTGTACCAAACTCACTAAAAGTGGCAAGGTTTGGCTTTTTCAAGAGAGGCTTTATTACTATCAGCCTATATCGAAACTCCCATTCCTCTCAATTTTTTGGGAAAAAGCTGTTGTGCAGCAACTCACTGCCTTCCTGAAGACAAATAATGTATACAAAATGCTTCAGTCTGGTTTTAGACACCATCATAGCACTGAGACTGCACTCGTGAAGGTGGTAAATGACCATCGATCACCACATTCTTTTGGAGAGATTAGAAACCCTAGTTCTTGCCTGGTTTAGATCTTATCTGACGGTAAGATATCAGTTCATCTCTGTGGATGGTTTGTCCTCTGACAAATCAATTGTACGTTTCGGCGTTCCTCAAGGTTCCGTTTTAGGACCACTATTGTTTTCACTATATATTCTACCTCTTGGTGATGTCATTCAGAAACACAATGTCAACTTTCACTGCTATGCGGACGACACACAGCTGTACATTTCAATGAAACATGGTGAAGCCCTAAAATTGCCTACCCTGGAAGCCTGTGTTTCAGACATAAGGAAGTGGATGGCGGCAATTAAAAAAAAAAATTAAACTCTGACAAAACAGAGATGCTAGTTCTAGGTCCCAAGAAACAAAGATCTGCTGTTGGATATGATAATTATTCTTGATGGTTGTACAGTTGTCTCAAATAAAACTGAAGGACCTCTGCGTTACTCTGGACTCTGATCTCTCTTTTGACGAACATGTCAAGAATTTCAAGGACAGCTTTTTTCCATCTTCGTAACATTGCAAAAATCATAAACTTTTTGTCAAAAAATGTCTGCTTTTGTCACATCTAGATTAGACTACTGCAATGCTCTACTCTCCAAATACCCGGATAAAGCACTAAATAAACTTAGTGCTAAAGTTAGTGCTAAACAAGGCTGCTAGAATCCTGACTGGAACAAAACATTTGATCATATTACTCCAGTGCTAGCCTCTTCCTGTTAAGGCTAGGGCTGATTTCAAGGTTTTACTGCTAACCTACAAAGCATTACATGGGCTTGCTCCTACCTAACTCTCTGACTTGGTCCTACCGTACATACCTACACGTATGCTACGGTCACAAGACGCAGGCCTCCTTATTGTCCCTAGAATTTCTAAGCAAACACCTGGAGAAAGGGCTTTCTCCTATGGAGCTCAATTTTTATGGAATGGTCTGCCTATCCATGTGAGAGACGCAGACTCGGTCTTGACCTTTAAGTCATTACTGAAGACTCATCTCTTCAGTAGGTCCTATGATTGAGTGTAGTCTGGCCCAGGTGAACGGCAAGGCACTGGAGCGATGAACCGCCCTTGCAGTGTCTGCCTGCCCGGCTCCCCTCTCTCCACTGGGATCCTCTGCCTCTGACCCTATTACGGGGGCTGAGTCACTGCCTTACTAGTGCTCTTTCATGCCGTCCCTAGGAGGGTTGCGTCACTTGAGTGGGTTGAGTCACAGACGTGATCTTCCTGTGCGGTTTTGCACCCCCTCGGGCTTGTGCGGTGGAGGAGGTATTTGTGGGCTATACTCAGCCTTGTCTCAGGGTAGTAAGTTGGTGGTCTGTTGATTTCCCTCTAGTGGTGTGGGGGCTGTGCTTTGGCAAAGTGGGTGGGGTCAGGACGACCCCCCCCCCCCCCCCCCCCCTTGCTGTTTGGGGTTTTAGGCTGGGTTTCTGTATAGCACTGTGACATCTGCTGATGTAAAAAGGGCTTTATAAATACATTTGTATGATAGCAATCTGACAGTCGATGACGTGGCACGGTTCATACATGCAACGTCTGAGCAGGGGAACGTGACCCATGGTTATTAGTTGATTATTGGAGTCAGGTATGTTAGCTGGGGCTGGGACTAAAGTATGTCAGCAATCAGGCCCCCGAGGACTGGAGTTGCCCGTCTGTAAACCAATGCATGGTGCTGTGGTTCTCAAACCTCTCATCTGTGACCCCCAGATATTTCACAACTTTGTTATAATAATAATAATATGCCATTTAGCAGATGCTTTTATCCAAAGAGACTTACAGTCATGTGTGCATACATTTTTACGTATGGGTGGTCCCGGGGATTGAACCCACTACCCTGGCGTTACAAGCGCCATGCTCTACCAATTGAGCTACAGAGGACCCTGAACTCAACGAGTTCAAAGCATATGAATGCATCCAACTGGTATTTACGACTTCACAACTGGTAAATTCCCACCTCCCACTTGGTTACGAACGCAGCATTAGTTGACAAGTTGAATCAGGTGTGCTAACTCTGGAATAGATCAAATACATGGATCGGCTGGGAGAGGTTTGAGAACCACTGGATAGAGGATGAGATTTATCAAGTCTTCATAGCCCCCATCTGTCTGCAAACTCAGTCAAGTGCCTATTTCCAAATTGATCTCCCTTTTCACTTGTGGATATTGGAAAATAACCAAGATAGTAAATATCCAGTCCACCTTGCTGTCTTCTTGGAATTGTAGGCATATTGCTCTTCAGTGCAGGGGTCGATTTTGGACGGGGCAAAAGTTTCTTCATGAGCCATTATAATATGTTAGATGTGGGCCTCCCAAGTGGCGCAGCGGACTATGGCCTGAATGCCAAGCGTCACGTCTGGAGGAAACCTGGCACCATCCCTACGGTGAAGCATGGTGGTGGCAGCATCATGCTATGGGGATGTTTTTCAGCAGCAGGGACTGGGAGACTTGTCAGGATCGAGGCAAAGATTAACGGAGCAAAGTACGGAGAGATCCTTGATGAAAACCTGCTCCAGAACGCTCAGGACCTCAGACTGGGGTGAAGGTTCACCTTCCAACAGGACAACGACCCTAAGCACACAGCCAATACAACGCAGGAGTGGCTTCGGGACAAGTCTCTGAATGTCCTTGAGTGGCCCAGCCAGAGCCCGGACTTGAACCAAATCGAGCATCTCTGGAGAGACCTGAAAATAGCTGTTCAGCAACGCTCCCCATCCAACCTGACAGAGCTTGAGAGGATCTGCGGAGAAGAATGGGAGAAACTCCCCAAATATAGGTGTGCCACGCTTGTAACTTCATACCCAAGAAGACTTGAGGCTGTAATCGCTGCCAAAGGTGCTTCAACAAAGTACTGAGTAAAGGGTCTGAATACTTATGTAAATGTGATATTTTTGTTTTTAATAAATTAGCAAACATTGCTTTGTCATTATGGGGTATTGTGTATAGATTGAGGGGGGAAAACAATTTAATCAATTTTAGAATAAGGCTGTACACCTAACAAAATGTGGAAAAAGTAAAGGGGTCTGAATACTTTCCGAAGGCATTGTAGGTAGTTTATTAAGTGTGCATGAAACATTACAAAAATGACTTTGCATTCCTTGAATCAGATTATAGTTGAGTTGTGCAAGTTATCATTCACAGCATAGATAAAATGGTATGATCATGAAACACATGCTCATGACAGACGAGAAAGAAGAGACCAGGTAAAAACTATTCTGAATGTAAACAGACATTTATTCTGTGATACCTTCTGGACAATTACAACCTCTAGGTGCCAAGTAAAAAATGCATAACATACAGCTGGTAAATTTTTAGACCCCTAGAACAATATGTGTAGATTTCAACACCAACACACTGCACCCAGAATCAGATGGGTCCATGCACGCAGGATTTGGTCCTGGACTACCAGATTAACCTGTGCCTTATAATGGGCACTGGTCAGTGACTCCTGTTACTCAGAAATCCACCAACTGCTCTCTGTTTGACATGTGGGCTTCTTACAATGTTCCGCCAGTTAAACGAATTCAGTCAAATCTTATTCAACCAAGAGCAGTGAACTGAGTATCTCCTTTCACAGATTGTAGTTACAATGTTTCTCTCAGTCCTCAATGATGATGTTTTCCCCCACAAAGCATTTATTTATTCCCACTGGTGCCTTCATTAGGACTCCTTTGTAGTGAAGCATTTGCCGCAACCATAACACCTACACTGCTTTTACTTTTAGTATGCCGTTTTTTGTGGGCCTTTAAATTACTTGCTGACGTAAAGCCTTTTTTGCATAAAGGACATATATATGGTCTCTCCCCTGTGTGAGTCCTTGTGTGAACTGTCAGACCAGAGTGACTGCTAAAACATTTATCACAAAGACTGCAATTATATGGTTTTTCCCCTGTATGGGTCCTCATGTGCACTTTAAGATGAGGGCCATTGCTAAAAGACCTGCCACATACACTGCAGCTATGTGGTTTCTCCCCTGTGTGAATCCTCATATGCATCCCCATATGGGCACTCTGAGTAAATCCTTTGCCACAGTCAGGACACTGATACGGTTTCTCCCCTGTGTGACATCTGATGTGTTTTTTCAGATTAGATTTACAGCTGAAACATTTCGCACAATCCAGGCACTGATAAGGTTTCTCGCCTGTGTGGGTCCTGATGTGTACTTTCAGATTAGCAGCACTGTTGGAATATTTACCACAAAAAGGGCATGGAAGTAGATTCCGTCTGTGGCACCTCATATGCATTTTCAGTTTACTACTCATAGTAAAACATTTACTACAAACATCACAAGAAAATCTAGTGTCAATATGAGTTTGGAGGTGATCTTGCATACTCTCTGTGGAATCAAAGTGTTTTTCACACACACCACTATTGTCTGCATCCTTCGTATGCATTTTCATATGATAAACTAGAGAACCGATGGAGTTAGCTGCAAAACAGTCTGGATTAACTGCAGCGAGGGTCTGGGAGTCACTGGTTGGTTCTAATACTCTGTAGTCCTCTCCATCCGATTCTGTGTTGATCTGTTCATTTGAGGTGCTGGGAAAATGTGCGGTCCAACTTGAAACCTGATCATAGTGACTTTTCACAACGCCAGGAGAGAATATGAACTCTTCCTCCAGCCCTTGAAGCTGCTCTTCCCCCTGACTGGTCCTGAGTTCCTCCTGTTCCTCTTTTATCTGTGTGAGTTCTTGGTCCTCCCGCCCCAGATTGGGGCTCCATTCCTTCTCACAGTGTTGCTGCTCAAGGGGAACCGCTTCCTTAGAGACAATGAGCTGCTGGAGGTCTGGAGAGAAAAAGAAAAATAGAGGATGAAACCGCAAACGCTGATTTTGGCCTAGGCCTGTACTAGCCCAATAATGGACTACAGGAGCCTAACTAACACTACTCCTTATAGTCTTATGTTTATTTGGATCCCCATTAGCTTTTGTAGATGTCTTCCCGGGGTCCACAAAAAAACCACTGTACTGTCCACCAAACATACTATTGTCAATAGGCGCTAAAGGTAGTTAGCGTCTATTAATGGGCTAGGCTTGTACTATAACATTTATCTCTAGCAAGGAATTAGGCTATATACCAGTTTATAGACATTGATCTGGGCCCGGTTCCCAAAAGCATTTTAAGGATAAATGTAACGTTAGAACCATCGGTCTGTAGTCGATCTGGGCCAGGTTTCCCCAAAGGCATCTTAAGGCTAAATTCATCGTTAGAACCATATCAATGTGTCTATAAACTGGTATAATTCCTTGCTAGAGGAATGTTCTATTGACGCTTTTGGGAAAAACGTGCCACTGGGGATTATTTACAGAAAATGACAGCTAAAGCGACAAACCTGCTCGATGTACCTTTATTTCAGGTTTAATTACGATATCCAGCAGCTTCTGTAAACGTACGTTCTCCTCCTTTGTACGGGAACATTCTTCCTGGTACTCTGCTATCGTTTGTTCAACTGCCCCAAATATCTCCTCAGCAGCCGCTGTTAATCGCTGGTTGAGAAACACTTTGAACAACTGTATTTTAGACATTTTCAGAGAATGCAAGTTTAGGTTGCTAGTTAACTGAATTACAAGCTTGTTTGCACTGATTGCTAGCTCCGGAACAAAAAAACAGCGTCTCTTCAGTGACACTAAAAAAGCACTTCCGGTCGTCTTCTTTAAGCGTTATTGGCGAATCGCAACCAACTGACAGGTGCATACAACGCCACCTACTGTACTGGAGTGTGAGGCTTGTTTGTATAGTGAATAAGTATAGTCAAAACACTCCAGGCAGACTACACGAGCTTTTCAGTGGTGATCAGTAGCGTTTTGCAGCTCGTGGTTGCACTTCCTGTGCTTGTGACCACAGAAGAAGACAACAGGACTAGGGTTGAATAGTGGGAACCTGGTTACCGAGATTTACCCGGGATTTAGCGCCCAAAACCACTCCCTTTTCCCGGGATAAATAACTGCGAGAAACCGGTAAAATTATAATAAATTATTTATATGAACAGCATGGTGTGAAATTGAACTATTCAATTATATGTGATGTCTAAATAGGGCTTCTCTACAGCCTCTGCATGATGAATCAACGCTCAGGGTGGGGACAGACCATCTCAGTATAGAGCGCAGTTCACAATGCATGGAGACCTACATTTGCTGCAGCATAGCCTAAACTACAGTAATATAAAGACTGAATGCGCGTCTCATTTACCCATCTCCATTTGGCTTTCGGGGGTGACCTTGTTTTTTAATTTAAAGATTATACTTTTTTAAATTGCAGCTGCAGAGTTTTAAAACGCGTATCACTCGAATATTGTTGCTTTAAATCAGTGCACATGCGAGCACTCTCACAGTCTCTCTCTCGCCCTCTCCATCAACTCCATTAAAATTGCATCCAAAATAGATAATCCTGTTCTAGATTTATATATAGCGCTATATATAGTGCATTAGGAAAGTATTCAGACCCCTCCACATTTTGTTACGTTACAGCCTTATTCTAAAATGTATTAAATCATTTTTTCCCCTCATCAATCTACACACAATACCCCATATTGACAAAGCAAAAAACGTTTATTTTTATTTTAAATGCCAAATTTATACAAAAACAACAAACTGAAATATCACATTTACATAAGTATTCAGACCCTTTACTCAGTACTTTGTTGAAGCACCTTTTGGCAGCGATTACAGCCTCGAGTCTTCTTGGGTGTGATGCTACAAGCTTGGCACACCTGTATTTGTGGAGTTTCTCCCATTCTTCTCTGCAGATCCTCTCAAGCTCTGTCAGGTTGGATGGGGAGTGTCGCTACACAGCTATTTTCAGGTCTCTCCAGAGATGTTCGACCGGGTTCAAGTCCGGGCTATGGCTGGGCCAATCAAGGACATTCAGAGACTTGTCCCGAAGCCACTCCTGCGTTGCCTTGGCTGTGTGCTTAGGGTCGTTGTCCTGTTGGAAGGTGAACCTTCGCCCCAGTCTGAGGTCCTGAGCGCTCTGGAGCAGGTTTTCATCAAGGATCTCTCTGTACTTTGCTCTGTTCATCTTTCCCTTGATCCTGACTAGTCTCCCAGTCTCTGCCGCTGAAAAACATCCCCACAGCATGACGCCGCCACCACCATGCTTTACCATAGGGATGGTGCCAGGTTTCCTCCAGACGTGACGCTTGGCATTCAGGCCAAAGAGTTCAATCTTGGTTTCATCAGACCAGAGAATCTTGTTTCTCATGGTCTGAGAGTCTTTAGGTGCATTTTGGCAAACTCCAAGCGGGCTGTCATGTGCCTTTTACTGAGGAGTGGCTTCCGTCTGGCCACTCTACCATAAAGGCCTGATTGGTGAAGTGCTGCAGAGATGGTTGTCCTTCTGGAAGGTTCTCCCATCTCCACAGAGGAACTCTGGAGCTCTGTCAAAGTGACCATTGGGTTCTTGGTCACCTCCCTAGTCACCTCCCATAATACAGTATAATACAATAATAATAAGCCATTTAGCAGACGCTTTTATCCAAAGCGACTTACAGTCATGTGTGCATACATTTTTACGTATGGGTGGTCCCAGGGATCGAACCCACTACCCTGGCGTTACAAGCGCCATGCTCTACCAATTGAGCTACAGAGGACCACACAGTACAGTAATAAAGTTCACACTCAAAGATTAGCCTACTGGAGCTAGTTTAATTTATTTACCCAAGAGAGCATATATAGCTAGCTACATCTATGGGCTTTTATGTTTTTCTGCCGTGCGTAATGTGCAGTAGCCTATATATCAAATATGTATTGGATAATGGCACAGTCATTTGGGATTTTTTTGGGCTTGGGCTCATTAAATGTTGTTAATGTAGGGCTCATAAAATGTATTTAATATATGGTTCATCAGGCTCAGGCTGATCAAAGCTCTAATCAAATCCAGACATACAGTAATTCATAATTATGTTTGTTTAATTTGGAATAAGCTTTTATTTTAATATTTACCACTGTAGAGGTACATCAAACTATCATGGTCCAAACACACCAAGAAAGTTGTGAAGAGGGCACGACAATGCCTTTCCCCCTCAGGAGACTGAAAAGATTTGGCATGGGTCCCCAGATCCTAAAAGTTCTACAGCTGCACCATCGAGAGCATCCTGACCGGTTGCATCACCGCCTGGTATGGCAACTGCTTGGCATCCGACCGTAAGGCACTACAGAGGGTAGTGCGTACAGCCCAGTACATCACTGGGGCCAAGCTTCCTGCCATCCAGGACCTATATAGTAGGCGGTGTCAGAGGAAGGCCCCAAAAATTGTCAAAGACTCCAGTCTCCCAAGTCATAGACTGTTCTCTCTGCTACCGCACGGCAAGTGATACCGGAGCGCCAAGTCTAGGTCCAAAAGGCTCCTTAACAGCTTCTACCCCCCAAGCCATAAGACTGCTGAACAATTAATCAAATGGCCACCCGGATAAATAAACAATAAATAAGCTTCATCTACATATATTCGAGGAGGTTACATCATATCTTTCTCTTCTGTATCTTTTTTTTTGTTCCTCACGCAAAGCCGCGGGAAGTAGGGGTGCTGAGGGTGCTGCAGCACCCCCAACCAATACAGCCGTCTGCAGCCCAGGAAAAAAGTTATTTGAAAAGGTTTTGATTGAGATAGTTTTCATAAGTTTTCCTAGTAAACAGTCAGATCCACCATTTTATATAAAAATGCTTGCATGTCGGGTTATATGATATTTTTTTTTTAATAAGATCTCATTAAATGAGTAGGGTGGCAGGTAGCCTAGCGGTTAGCGCATTGGGCCCTTGAGCAAGGCACTTGCTCCAGGGTCGCCGTTGATAATGGAAGACCCTGGCCGTGATCCCACTCTTCCGAGGGTGTCTCAAGGAGAGTTGGGAAATGCAAAAAACACATTTCCAATTCACACGTGCATAGTAATGCACACTACTACATGTGTGAAATAGGACATATACAGTGGGGAGAACAAGTATTTGATACACTGCAGATTTTGCAGGTTTTCCTACTTACAAAGCATGTAGAGGTCTGTAATTGTTATCATAGGTACACTTCAACTGTGAGAGACAAAATCTAAAACAACAATCCAGAAAATCACATTCTATGATTTTTAAGTAATTAATTTGCATTTTATTGCAAGACATAAGTATTTGATCAACTACCAACCAGTAAGAATTCCGGCTCTCACAGACCTGTTAGTTTTTCTTTAAGAAGCCCTCCTGTTCTCCACTCATTACCTGTATTAACTACACCTGTTTGAACTCGTTACCTGTATAAAAGACACCTGTCCACACACTCAATCAAACAGACTTCAACCTCTCCACAATGGCCAAGACCAGAGAGCTGTGTAAGGACATCAGGGATAAAATGTTAGACCTGCACAAGGCTGGGATGGGCTACAGGACAATAGGCAAGCAGCTTGGTGAGAAGGCAACAACTGTTGGCGCAATTATTCGAAAATGGAAGAAGTTCAAGATGACGGTCAATCACCCTCGGTCTGGGGCTCCATGCAAGATCTCCCCTCGTGGGGCATCAATGATCATGAGGAAGGTGAGGGATCAGCCCAGAACTACACGGCAGGACCTGGTCAATGACCTGAAGAGAGCTGGGACCACAGTCTCAAAGAAAACCATTAGTAACATACTACGCCGTCATGGATTAAAATCCTGCAGCGCACGCAAGGTCCCTCTGCTCAAGCCAGCGCATGTCCAGGCCCGTCTGAAGTTTGCCAATGACCATCTGGATGATCCAGAGGAGGAATGGGAGAAGGTCATGTGGTCTGATGAGACAAAAATAGAGCTTTTTGGTCTAAAATCCACTCACCGTGTTTGGAGGAAGAAGAAGGATGAGTACAACCCCAAGAACACCATCCCAACCATGAAGCATGGAGGTGGAAACATCATTCTTTGGGGATGCTTTTCTGCAAAGGGGACAGGACGACTGCACCGTATTTTGAGGGGAGGATGGATGGGACCATGTATCGCGAGATCTTGGCCAACAACCTCCTTCCCTCAGTAAGAGCATTGAAGTTGGGTCGTGGCTGGGTCTTCCAGCATGACAATGACCCGAAACACACAGCCAGGGCAACTAAGGAGTGGCTCCGTAAGAAGCATCTCAATGTCCTGGAGTGGCCTAGCCAGTCTCCAGACATGAACCCAATAGAAAATCTTTGGAGGGAGCTGAAAGTCCGTATTGCCCAGCGACAGCCCCGAAACCTGAAGGATCTGGAGGTCTGTATGGAGGAGTGGGCCAAAATCCCTGCTGCAGTGTGTGCAAACCTGGTCAAGACCTACAGGAAACGTATGATCTCTGTAATTGCAAACAAAGGTTTCTGTACCAAATATTAAGTTCTGCTTTTCTGATGTATCAAATACTTATGTCATGCAATAAAATGCAAATTAATTACTTAAAAATCATACAATGTGATTTTCTGGATTTTTGTTTTAGATTCCGTCTCTCACAGTTGAAGTGTACCTATGATAAAAATTACAGACCTCTACATGCTTTGTAAGTAGGAAAACCTGCAAAATCTGCAGTGTATCAAATACTTGTTCTCCCCACTGTA